ATAAATGATTAGGTCAAAGAGCTTTGCCCTTGAGAATGCATTAATGTCATTACTTCAGGAGTGGTTAGTTATCTCAAGAGTGGGCTTGTTATAAAAGCAATGCTGGACCCCTTCCTGCTTTCTGTCATGATGCAGCATGCTAGTCCTCTCCAGATGAGATCTCTCAGACTTGGACTTCCTAGCCTCCAGAACTGTAAGAAAGAAATCCATTTTTTAAAAAATTACCACTGAGCGTGGTGGCGCACACCTGTACTCCCAGCACTTGGGAGGCTGAGGCAGGAGGTTACTGTGATTTCAAGACCAACCTGGGCTACATAGTGAGTTCCAGTTCAGTTTCAACTACATAGTGAGACCCTGTCTCAAAAAACCAAAATAAATAAATAAACAAAATTTTAAAAAATTACCAACCTCAAGTATTTTGCTACAGCAGTACAAAACAAGCTAAGACAATGGGTGAAACTACTGGGAGAAGTATCCAATATTGCAAGAGGCTTATGGGAGATTCCTGAGAATTAGGAAGGAAATTTTGAGCATTATGAAGTTTGGCTTTTAAGAAAATACTTCATATAATAAAATTGGCTGTATGCTATGTCTGTGGACTTTAATACATGTATAAATTCATTTGATACCACTACAATCAGGATTTAGAATGACATCACCCCAAAGCCCTCCCAGACCTTTTTTGGTTGTTGTTGTTTTTGTTTTGTTTTTTGAGACAGGATCTCCCTACACAGCCCAGCCTGGCCTTGAACTCAGTGATCCTCCTGCCCAAAATTCTCCAGTGGCTTTAGCAGTGACTGGCAGTTGTTTCCATGGCTGACAAAGCCTGCATCATTTGGCCCTGGCAGTCTCTCTAACCTTGTCTCCTACTGTCCTCACCCTTACTTGCTTTGTGTCAGCCACAGGGATCTCCTTGCTATTCCTATATTGTATCAAGTATGTGCCTGCCTCAGAGTATTTAAATTTTCAGTATCCTCTGCTAGAACATTCTTTCTCTAGACATCCACATGGTTTAACCTTATCTAATCAAATCCAGTGTCTATGTAAGTGTTCCTTAACAATGAGTTCTCCAACATCTAAAATAGCAGCTATTTGATACCACTGTACAATCTCTGCCTTACTTTCTTCATTCATAGTCCATATCCCTAACACTATGTGTTTTTGTCTCCCTGAACTAGTAAATTTCCCTAAGGGTAGTTTTGTCCACTGATCAATTTACATTGAGATGAGTGCTTGGTTTGGAATATACTGGGAGTTCATTGAATATTTTTGATTGCATAATTTTTTAGGAGGGAATGACAAGATGAGAACATATGTAAGAAAGTTTCCAGATTTCAGGACAGTTTACCTTTTCTGTTACTTGTATGGTAAGGTAATCAATATGGCAGTGTAGGGTTAGATTTGCGGCAATAGTGGAAAGCAAATTGAATGGGATACAATGAAGTCTGCAGTCATAGTTCAGCGTCTGTTTAAAGTTGATAACTAATGTGGTGCTGCCAATCTGTTTGGCAGTAAAGTTTTCTATAAGGTACAAGGATGGGAGAAGTTTGGCTGTCCAAAGTGGAGGTCTTAGTTAGAGGAAAGGGACTGTTATGATGGGATTATGAGTAAAAGTGGGGTTGTAATGACATGTCATTTAATCTAAAATGGGGAGGGAGGGAAGAGTGGATGGTGTTAATGTTTAAGAGATAAATTAAGAGGCTTTCAGCAGATTGAAAGTTATGATAAAGTGAAAGGACAGTTATGCTGTTATCCTGTTTTAAGCAGATAAACTGCGAGGACAGAAGGGCCTAGGGATGTTTGAATTACTGATTCGTGACGCTACAGTGTTTTGGGTGACAAGGTCTAGTTTTGATTGGGTTTAGGAGGGTCGCTATAGATAAGGCCGGGTGTTGAATGGGCTGTCGACCCACATTCTGAAATGACCAAGGAAGATAGTCAAAGGGGAGAAAGTCAGACAAAGAGCTGCACGAGTAAATCGACAACTACTGTATTCACTACAGAGGTGGTTAAACGGGTGGCAAAGTCTAAGAGGAAGCGTTGCAGAGAAGTAAGCGTTTGTCCAACGGGTGACAGTATCTGGCGGACAGCTCCCACCTCTAGGACCTGGTAGTGGGAATACTAACCCTGTGACGGTTCCCAGGGGTTGCAGGATTCTCGGGAGAAAGCCAGGTCTCGTCCAAGAACTGAAAGCTAATCTAAAAGCGGAAAAGCTTGAGAAAGATCCGTTTGAAGGAGACTGCGTGGAGACCTAAGCAACAGGAAACTCTAACATCTTTGTTCTTTATTAACCTTCCTCCCAGCCTACCGCCACTGGACACCAACATTCCACAAGAAAACACTTGGAAAGCAGTATCTACCCAGGCTCTTTTCAACTCCGCGCTGAAGGCTCCCACCGGAACTCCTCCGAGTCCAAGCTCTTCCATTGGTTGAAGCTTCGCCCGCTTCCCCTCGCTTCCTCTCACG